AAAAAAAAACAGAGAAAGAAAGAAAAAATAGAGAAGAAAAAAGATATTGGTCAATTGCTTACCACATACTGTGTCGGAGTCATTGACAGTGATCAAAGGAACCCCTTTAAGTGCAGGTGGAGACTGACACGTTATTAATGACTTTCTTGTTCGTTTTAGCCACTTACGTAACCACAATGCATTGCAATCGCAGTGCAGGCTGTTTCCTATTGCATTGGCGTACTCCACGCGTTGACGGAAGTAAAATGGTATGTCCCATACCCTGTTAGCATTATCAGAATTGTTAGATTTATAAATGTTTTACAAACGTAAATTATCTAACTCCAATGGAGCGCATACCATATATCCGTGAAAAACTTGGTAAGAAATTGCACATCTTTGCATAAATGTGTAAGTTCATTAAACCGTAGGCCTACAAACCTTTGCATTAATTTATACATTTTTGTTAGTTAACTTTTACAAGGATATATGGTATGCACTCTATACCATTCAGATTGCAAATACACCTCTTTACCATAGGTGTGATTTTGTCCCATTTCAGACCGCGTGTCATTGTCTTGAGAATAAGATTCTTTGTTTGGGATGTATCCATATTCGTGTGTCTTCTCATGCACAACCGTTAAACAAAGATATGATACTCTAGGGAATGACACGTGTTCTTGAGAATAAGATTCTTTGTTTGGAATGCATGTGTCTTCTCATGCGCAACCGTTAAACAAAGATATGATACTCTAGGGAATGACACGGGGTCTTGAGAATAAGATTCTTTGTTTGGAATGTATCCATACTCATGTGTCTTCTCATGCACGACCGTTAAACAAAGAAATGTTACTCTAGGGAATGGCAATTGGTCTGGAATGGGAAAACATTACGCCCGAGGTAAAGAGGTCTATTAAGGGAAAATATATGGTCAAATTTGTTCTACTTACAGTCGGTTCAGCATGATTAGTTCAGCAAAGGCATCTTTGGCGACGAAAGAAATGTCATTGAAATACAACTGCCTGAAAAGTTGAGAAGATAAAGAAATGAGACMATATTTTACCAGGTATTCCCCAAGGTCTAATGCTTGGACCACTTCTTAAAAAAGGTGTAAGCATGTATAAGTTGCTAAGTAGAGAGGAGAAAGAATTTGACAAGTTTTTAACAGGTGTCCCCCAAGGTCTAAAGCTTGGACCACTTAATTCTTAAAAAAGGCGCAAGCATTTTGAAGTTGCTAAGCCGTGCGCTGTCAGTTCAGCAAGCAAGTACGCAGTACGTTCCTTGAGCGAAGTCAAGTTCGTAACATATAGACATACAAATCTCTAACTTGACGAAGCCCAGAAAAGATCCATTTGGAAATCGTAGTGAGTTTATTGGAGTCCAAATACCTGAAAAAATGAAAAAATAAAGAAAGTGAGACGAAATAAGAAAGGCATTGTCTTATCGGTAAGAACTATTGACATGAAAATAAATACTTACAAAGTTGTTAAAGCTCTGAGATCAATAAAGGAATTGTCGGCAATGTATCGGATACTATTGACACCTAGATGTCTGAAAAAATAAAATAAGATATAAATATAAATCTAATAGAATTAATAACTTTAAAAAGAATTGCAAGATATAAACAATTAGCATGTGTAAATGGCACATAATAGAACAGCTAGGAAAATAATCTCACCATCCCAATTAATATGAAACAGTTTTAGTTATACACGGTATTATACTTACAGCACTTTAAGCTTTCCCAAACCCACAAATAAATTCGGCTCTATAGAGGTTAGACGGTTGGCGTAAAGATACCTAGCAATAGACCATTGAATTATCAGTCAATGAATAGAATTTATGAGTATAAGTCCATTCCGTCCATCAGTCCATCCATCCATCCATCCATCCATCCATCCATCCATCCATCCATCCAT